AATGACCTAAAACAACTTTGGATTATGTTGGTTTTAACTATCAATACTTATGCATTCATAGTTAAAGTGGGGGAACTTTTAAATACATGTCATATGGCATCAGAGCAATGATATCGTAACATTATCTGGATTTTTCTCTGCACTGATGAACAACTCTCTAACCACACACACACACACACACACACACACACACACACACCCCTTCTGGAAACCCCACCCCCAGCCCTCCAGTCCCCCACCCCATACACTTGTCTTATTCAAGTATGAGAGTGAAAGGCCAATCACATCTTAGCATTATTATGACAATGTTTTCTCCTGACAGGCCTGAAAGCATCTTAGGGACCCACAGGTTTCCCCAGAACACAAACTGAGAAGAGGAGGAATCTGCTCTACAAAATAATTGCCATAAAAGTTTACCAGAAATATTCAGTTCGGTGATTTATTTTTCCATCGCAGAAATAATTTTCATAATAAATAAGATTACCACCAACAACAGCCTATTTAAATTCTTGAATAATATGGACCAAATATTAACTCCTTCTAATATGTGTAGTCATTCTTACGCAGAAATTTAACATTAAATTCTTATTTTCAGTGTCAACAAGACATAAGTTATTAAGATCAATAGAATCTGTCATGATCAAATATAGGAAGAACTCTCTTCTTTCACCCACTCCCTAAAACGGTGGAGAAGTTCATTAATTCAGAGTAGGGCAGCCAGTTTTTAAATATATTTTGTATTTGTGAATACATAAACACACATCACAGTTCTGGGAGGGGGGAGTACACCTGCTACCTATTCAGTAGTAGAGTTCATTTAATCCACATTGACACTCAGATCAGGGTAATACTGTATCATCAAATGGTTGGGGAAAATATACACATCTTAGAACTTATAATTGATATGAAGAGACATACTTACCTATTTTCTCAAACTGATGAATAAACAACAATTATTAAAATCACAATGAGGGGGAAAATCTGGATTTTTCTCCCCACTGATGAAGGACTCCCTAACAAGACACACACACACACACACATACACACACACACACACACACACTACAAAGGGGAAATAAATGTCAGAAGGACCTTACTCAGATTTGAATGTTTTACATTTTATTATAAAATTGGATATTCCATAAAGAAATGCATTTGCATAAAACAAAAAGACAAAGATGCAATAGTAATCAAAGCGTAAATATGTCCTTGAAGGCAAACAAATGCTAAATTACAATACAGCTTCTGTCAATGTGAGCAAATGCATATTTTGAATGTAATGCAAATCTAAGAAATCAAAGGGAAAATAGCCATTTGCAAAATTGGAGGAAAGAGCATCTTCCTTTAAGTCTGACTGCTCTAGCCATTCATACCATGCTAAATTAAGGCTGCATAGCATTTCTCAAAATCACTCTTTGTTCTTAAATACAAAAATCACAACCAGTTTTCCTGAATTCTGGGCAACAATGCCCCACTTCTAATAGTAACTGTCACTCCTACTTGGCAGTCCTTTTCAAAGACAGTTTAAAAGAGTGGTTAAAGTGCTCCAAATGAGACCAGAAAACCAATTCAGTCTAGCATTGTGTATATTATTTGACTAACTTCAATCCTTTTGACCTTATAAGCTTTCTATTTTCTAGTTAGGATTTCCTTTGCTATAGTGAACCAAGGAATCAAAGATAAATCAGATTCATCCAAATGTTGCCTCATTACCAGAAACAATGGCAGACACAGTAGCTGGAGCCAGTAAATCTCACACTGTTGTTCCCAGGGAAAAGGAATATTTAAATCTCCAAAATGTAAGGAGATCATTATAAAGACAACCATTTCTAAAACATCTTCCCCTCCTATTTTGAGGAGAGAGCTCTCCACCTGAAGGATAATCAGATCAAGAAACTTAAAATGAGACGTCAAAAAGCATTTACCCATCATGCAAATCCCATGTTGGCTTATCGCTCCTCAGGCCAGGGATGCCCTATGCAAGCTAACATGTCTATCTGAAAGATTTAGAGAGTTCACATAAACCTTTATACAAATCACTTCTTGTACCCCAAGTGCATAGAAATAGCCCAGTTACCCATGTACACCGACAGAGCAGGCTATTGGGTATTTAGTGATCAAGAAGTGCTGTGGAATGGCATCCCAGCACTGACATGTTCACCTCCAGCTAAAGACAGCACAATACATGGACAAGCACAGTCCTCATGACATCAGGACCTGTGGAATGTATGACTGCCAGGGAACATGCTGCTAGGAAACAAAGAGCAGACCTGACCAAATCTTCCAATGTATGGACTTGGAATCGTGGCAATTAGGTCTCCTAAAAGGAGAGGACAAGAATCCCTTCATCTTCAGAAATGTTTGCAAGTTTCAAGACTTTAACACCCACCCTCCAGAAATGAATCAAATATGAAAACGCTGGATTCTCATGAATTGAATCACAATTCTCTAAGTTTTTTTTTTTTTTAAGGTGACCACTGGTAAGGATAACACATAAAAATATAACCATCAAAACCAGGGATTCTGTATTCTTTTCTGTTTATGTTTTGTTTTTTTGCAATCTAAGCTTTTCAAGAAGTCAGGATCTTAAAAAGAAAGAAATGCAGACATTATAGTACTTTGAAACAAAGTACCCTTTTACATTCGCAGTGCTACATTTTTAGAACAAAATAAGAACGTAGCCATTTGCAACAGACATCGGAGCAGCCAGAGCTAATCTACAACTAAGGCATTTAATCTTTTAATTATTGAAACTAAAAGGCAGTATAAAAAAAAAACAAAAAAAAAACCCTGATGATCTTTGTATATTGTTAACCCTTGCTTTGGCCAAAAAAAAAAAAGATAGAGATAGTGTGAAACAAAGCTGAGAGATATTTCCATGAAAATACCCTTTTAACTCCCACACAAATTATCTGAAAACCTCTTTGGGTTATACCATAAAAGAACTGGCAAGTCTTATCTGGAATCGGCGTACAAACTGGGTGCTAAGAACTCCAGGTAATTTAGTATCATGACAGATGGAAAAAATGTACCAGGGAGAACTGGCTCCATTCTGCTTCATCTCACAGGGAAATAAAGAACATTCTCCAAGTGAAAAATGACTAAAGAAGCGTGTCTTTGCAGATTCTAAAATGGCATTCTTTAGCTAGTTCTGCTAGCCCAGTATGACACTAAATTAGCAGACCGCCTAGTTACTTCACAGCAAAACACAGAAGGCAGTTTTTTGTGTTTTTTTTTTCTTCCTGCCCGAGTCTATGCGTCTCCTCATTTCCCCAGCAGCCGGCAGGCAGGAAGGATGTAAAATCAGAGGTGCAAGAAGACTTAGACTTCCTAATGAGTAATCCACCCAGGAAAGTAAACACAACTCACACCACTGGGTTTGCTGGAAAGGAGACTGTTGCACCCTTGTTTACCATGGGCTCTGAGGACTGCAGGCAGCATCACAGGCGGGCACAGGGAGGAGACACCCGGGGGTGGCTCACCCGCTGGAGTTCGCCCAATAATTGCTAGGATATCTCTGGCCATAAATAAAGCAGCACATGTTTCCATCGGAGTGAGGAAAGTGGCCAGAGAATTCCAGGGGCCCCGGGGGTTGTGCCAGCTTCGCTCCGTAACTCGAGTCTGCCAGAGAGATGGCCACACGGTCCCCCGTCCTCCCTCATCAGGACCGGTCTGGGGTGCGATACGCGCTGCACCAGGGACTCTCCCTCCCGCGCCGCACGCCTCCCGCCTCCCGCCTCCCGCGGAGGGGCTCCTCGCCGGCGGAAAAGAGGGGGCAGGGGGACACCGAGAGGCTTCCCCGCACACCCCACCGACCCCCGAGGCCTCCTCCTCAAACCAGATTTTCCAGTTAAGCGGATCCCAGGAGATTCTGATAAGCAAGCTCAGCTGAAGTAGCATCCAGCTCTGTGCCATCCCCGCAAAAACCTCCGGGCCATCCATCCCCAGAGCGCACGAAAACGCACGCACACCCGCCGCGCCGCCGCCAGCTCACCCTTGCAGGGAGGTCGCCCCCAGAAACACACACACACGCCCGCCCACCTATCCTGCTGAGCGGTTGGGGGGGGATGCTGGCACGCTTAGCCCCAGACTCCAGCGGCGGGGCGCAGTGGCACCCTCGCTGTGAGGCAGGCTGGAGCCTCCCCTTCTCCCGAGAGAAGCTCCGTGGCGCCCGCCGTCCTACCTGTAACCCAGCAATACCCTCCCCACCCCGCCCCGGAGCCCCCACCACCCGGATTCCTTCAATACCCCCCTCACACACCCGTGCCAACTCCCAACACCCGAGAAAGTGGCATCTTTCCTTTCTCCAACCGAACCGCCTCACAAAGCCTGGACAGACGAGCACGTCTACACCAAACTGCCTGCCGTGAAGCGGAGGGGAGGGGCGGGGTGCGGGGAGACGGCTAAAGCCCCACGACTCAGGGGTGCGACTCGGGAGCCTGCTGCCCAGCCAGGGATGCTGCTCCGAGGCAGGTGCCCAGGGAGGACCGCGGTCCCCGCCGCCCCGGAGCCCCGCTCCTCACCGGGCGTCTGGCTGTCAGTCCTCCCGCCGGCTCCGGGCCGGCGGGGAGAAGGCGCCCGCCCCCCTGGTCAGCGTTCAGCCCCCTCCGGAGGATGACACCCACCGGGGTGAGAGAGGAGGGGACATTCCCCCCGGGGTGGACATCGGTCCTATTCCCCCGCGTTTGGGACTGCGAAGGCGCCGGGTCTGCTCTCTACCCTTCATCCCGCTTGGCCGCCAAGAGCTGGGAGAGCCTCAACCCGGTGCCAAACCCCAGCTCCCACCAACCAGCCAAGAGACTCCCTTCCCGCCCCGCATCGCAATCCGATGAGAGTGTGTGTGCAAGTGTATGTGTGTGTGTGTGTGCAAATGCAAGTGTGTGAATGGGAAAATGAGGGTGCGTGCACCCCCCACGACCCCCCCCCCCCATCCCAACCCCAGGCAGCCCGCCCCGCGGACGCTGGCCACCACCGTTAGGAAGTAAAGAAGAATAAATTACCTTCCGGAACCGCAGGTCCCCGCGATCGTCCGTCCCATCCGCTGCTCAACAACCTGCAGCCGGGCGCCGCGGCCACCATCCGGCCCTGGAGCCCGGCCGCCCGGCCCGGCGAGGACGCTGCCCCGCCGCGCTCCGCACAGGGGCTGCTGACCCGGCGCGGGGAAGGCGGCAGCGGGAGGGTGGCCACCCCAGTCCAGGAAACAACAACAACAAAAGTCTCTCCTTACCCCCCTTCTTCGGCTTACACAGCCATGGAAAACGGAGACGGGGCGGCGGCGGGCGAGGGGAGAAGAGGCACCAAACGCTAGTCTTTCCTGGACGCGTCCCGGCTCCGCACGCGCCCGGGAGCCAACACGCCGGGTCCGGGGAGACGGGGGTGCGGGTGCCCCCCGCGGTCCACAGTTGCACAACTTCGGAGTCAAGGAGCTCCGTCTCCCGCTGCAGCCGGGGGAGCCGGGCGGCAGCGATTCATTCACTCACAGGCGGCAGCCACCGCCGCCGGGGCCGCTGCTCCACCCGCCGGGGCCGCTTCTCCGCCCGCCGGAGCTGCTCCTCCACCTCCCGCCGCCGCCGCCGCCGCTTCGGAAAAGACGCTGCCGAAGAGACCAAAAATCTTCCACCATCCCCCGCGCCCGGCCGATCTTTACATCCCGTTCTCCCACCCCACCCCCTTCTCTTTCTTCTTCTTCTTCTTCCTCCTCCTCCTCGTCCTCCCCCTCCGGTCTGGGAGCGGGCGCGATGGGGTGGGTAGGCAGTGGGCGCCGAGAGGGCCGAGGGTGGCTTCTCCGGCTCACCGTCCTCCTCCTCCTCCTCTTCTTCTTCCTCCTCCGCGCGAGGCTCTCTCCCCGCCGAGGGTCTCCCTTCGCTCCCGCAACCTGCGTCAGGCGCCGGGGCGAGCGCCGCGCAAACTCCTTCCCGGGGGCGCGGCGGGGGCGCGCGGGCGGCGCGGGCGCCTGGCCTCCGAGGGCTGCGTCCCGGGGGCAGCGGAGCCCCGAGCCCGGGGAGGCGGGGGGGTTGGCGGCCGATTAGCTCGCCGCCGGGCGGGCCGGACAGCTGCGGGCATGTGGGCGCTCCATGGCGCGGTCCCGGGCTCCGCGCCGCCGCCGCCTCTCCGCTCTTTCTATCCTCGGACTCCGCGGGGAGGACGAGCCGGGCTCCGGCGCTCCGGACACGCACACGCACCCGCACACACGCGCGCGGGGGCTCCTGCCCGAGCCCCCCGGGCACCCCGTGCGCGCGCGCCGCCGGAGCGAGGACGGCGGCGAGAGAAGAAAGGAAGGGGAGGGGGCGGTCACAGGCGGCGGCGGCGGCGGCCGCTGCGGGAGCCGAGGCAGCGAGCGGTCCGGGGAGAGCCGGCGGCGGCGGCGGCGGCGGTGGCGGTGGTGTCCACCCGGGCCAGCGGCAGCATCTGCATCCCCGCTCCGGGGACCGGGGGCGAACGGTGCCGAGCGGGCGGGCGGGCTACGCTCCGAAAGCCGGCCGGGGCGCGGACTCGCCGGGACGGTGCAGCCAGCGCGCGGCGGTGCAGCCGGGGCCGGAGCCGAGGCCGGAATGAGCCGCGGGCGGGCGGGCGGGCGGGCGGGCGAGCGCGGAGAGCGCCCGGAGCCGGGGAGGGGGCTCGCGCTGGGGGAACGGGGGTGGGTGGCAGGCAAAACCCGGAGCTGGAGTGGGCTGGAGCTCTGCCGCCGCGCGGGCTCCACCTAGCAGCTCGGCGAACGCTAGGAAGTGGGAGCGGGAGGGCTGCTGCTGCTGCTGCTGGAGGCTTCCCTTTCAGGGTTTGTCAGACAAAGGGTACCTCTCCTGGCGGTGTGGAGGCATCTCTCTTATCTCTCCCCCACCTCCCTGGGGCCCTCTCCTCCCCCTCTCCCTCTCCATCACCATTTCCCTCTCTTCTCCTCCGCCTCTGCTCCACCCCAGGTGAGGAAAGGACATCGGATTGGAAAGACTGCCCCGGTGGTGTCTCTTTTTTCCTGGTGCAGGTTATTCCATATTTTTTCATTAGGCAAGTGCCTAGTCCCCAAGCGTTTTTCTGCCTTTGGTCCATTTTTACGTTCCTTCAAACTTATCCCAACGTGCAAGTTCCTGGCAGAGTGTAAAGTGTCCTTCTCTGATAATCCAGTGTAGGGATTTCATGATTTTCTTTGACAGTATCACCAAAAATTATCATAATGGACCTTGAAAGGTGCCAACTCCAAAGTAATGCCTTCCGATGGAAGAAGTCTGCCGAAAGTCAGTGACTAAACGTCTTTGTGTCCCTTCTTTGGAAATGAAAGGTAATTTCTAGGGCTTTTCCTGACCTAAAATGTTATGGTTTGAAATGGCTAAGGTATTACTTTCTATCGCAGTAAATTCTAGTTCATGGTGTGATTATGGAGAGAAACTAAGATTTAGTATGTGCATACAACAAGCACATATCCAAGTTGTATTGGAATTTATATATATATCAATATATATATATATATATCAATATATATATATATAGATAGATAGATAGATAGATAGATATAGATATATATATTGAATGATCTAATACCCTTCCAGAGCTTTTAGGGAGGTAACTGCAGCATATCTGAAGAACCTAAAACTTCATTGGAATTCACAGACCATACATAATGCAAGTGACTATCAAAATCCCATTCACTCTTCAGGACTCAATCCCAGTGCCAAGCGCTCCCAAAAGCCTTTCTCATCCGCCCCAATTAAAATCATCACCTCTCCCATAGCACTCTGGTGGTATCTCTACAATAACCACCTATTTCATTCTACCTTTTTCTTGAAATAGTTGCATGCCTCCTCAGATTACAGAATCATCTCTATAACATCATATTACTCTGTATCCACAGTATTTTGCACATTGTCATTCCTTTTTTAAAACTATGGGAGGGGGGTTTATAATATTGTTGAATTCTAACCAACTAGATTTTCACAGGCTCAAGTTAGCCTACTTGAATTTGCCTAATATAGGGCATCCATAAACCCTCCTGAGTACTTAAAGAAAATGTAAGCTGACAGCTGGAGTCACTTGATACTTAAATAATTTTGGAAAGAGGAGACTCTAGCCAATTGTGACAAGAAGCTGTTATTTGTAAAGAAAGCAACATGGAAACGACTCAATTCATTTCCCAAATGGATATGTGTAGAAAAGTATAAAATAATAGAATGTAGAATGAAAGGTGCTATGTAGATATTAAATGTTATTACAGGTAGCAGCTGGAATATAAACAATATCTATAGGCCAATTTTTAAAATCAGCCTTATCACAACTTTACAGGTATGGAAGGATATGGAAGAGGAATGAAAGTTCAAAATGGAATTAATGTTTATCAAAATATGTAACATATGAACTGAAAACTAATCATATTAAGTTAAACAAATATGAAATGTTAACTGAAAAGTAAGCATGTAAGTTAAATAGGTAATTAAAGGTATTCACCAAAAAGGAAATAACCACAAATAAGCAATTTTAAAAAAAGAAGATCAGAATAAGAAGGTAAAATCACCAAAAATGAAAAAAAAAAAAAAACAGGAAAAGAAAGAAAATAAGTTAATTGTTTATATGATTTAATCAAATGTTGAGATAGCAATTTTTATTGTAGCTATCTGTATGTTTGGCTCAAACATCATACTTTTTCAAATCATTTTTAATCTAATGAGCATAGTCTTTAGTAGTTAATATATAAAATATCTCACTTTATTGTTAGTAAATCCTTTACTCTTGTCAATATTTTTTAAGTCAAAACTTCCACAAAAATAAAGTGAAGTAAATCCTATGCCTTCTTAGCTATACAATTATATTTAACACCTTCTCAGGGACAAGATAGCATCACAGATGTTTTAGTAAAGATGCTGTTATACATGGTGGCTTTGTATGCTAGAATGATTTTTGAAGAGGATGGCACTGTTGATTTTAACTACATTAAAATTGAGGGGGGGAGGGGAGTAATACCTACCAAATGGAAAAGAACTTACCAAAATTTTTAAAAAGTTATTCTAATCAAATAGGATTATCAAAATTAAAATATTTAATAGCTATCAAAATTTCCTAACCAAATATTTTTTCCTATTAAAAGAAATACACTAAGTTTCCCAACAGTATGAAAGTTAGAAAAAGAACATGGATATCTGTTTACAAAATAAATTAAAATGGCCAATAAAACAAGGAAATATGTTCTGCCTATACAAGTCCAATACATAAAAAGATATACAATCACCAGATTCATCATGTTTCATGTTTCACCTGTTGGAGAAGAATGAAGAAACCCAAGCGATGCTTTAAGAAATGGAGTTACACAGCTTTATTATGCCGGTGGTCTCAGAGGAATTGTCTCCAGAGTCTGAGCAAACCAGTATGGTGGAAGCTCTTCTTTTATCCCCTTCTGGTTTTCTTGTCTCCCAAATATGGATGGGGACTTCCAGACCTTTCGTGTGCATTGCAAAAAAACCCCCATGGGTTGGGATGGGGATCTTGAGGTCATATCTAATGGCCTGGCCTGGCACCAGTGCTGATAAAGCTGTCCGGGGGTTGTGTATTGTTGATGGTTTATGGCCTCTGTAAAATGTGAGCATTAAGGTAACATGTCTTGCAAGGCCAGATTGTGGAGGAAGGGGCAGTGGCTTAATTATAGGTTATCAAGAATGTACATTAGGTTACTGCACAGATTCAGATTGCTAGCCCCCCAGACATCAGGGTTACATTGGAATTAGCCTTTTAGCCCTTTCACACCCATTAAGTTAGCTGAAAAGTAACAGTGTGCCCTAGTACTAGACCAGCGGTAAGCAAACTCATTAGTCAACAAAGCCAAATATCAACAGTACAACGACTGAAATTTCTTTTGAGAGCCAAATTTTTTAAAACTTCTTCTAATGCCACTTCTTCAAAATAGACTTCCCCCAGGCCATGGTATTTTGTGGAAGAGGCACACTCAAGGGACCAAAGAGCCACATGTGTATTGTTGACCACAGTACTAGACTAACAAAAGTTTTTTGAGACAGGTATACCACCTGCTCATCAACATGCTGTTGATATATACTGACCCATTTTTTTCTGGAAAGAAAGTTGACAATATGTACCAACTGCTTTATAGAATATATGCCATTAACCCAGTATTTCTCTTTA